TATTAACATTATTTTATCAAAATGTTAATTTTTTTGGTTTTCAAGAATGTGGAATAATTATAAAAGGAGTATTCAGTTAAAACTATTAATGATTATCAAATATTAATACGTGTCAGAGTTTTTCGTTTCTCCTGAAAAATTTGATTAAAGTGACTTAAGAGGTTTTGCTGTGTAGCCGACGAAGTGTTTCAAATCTCATATACTTGGTTTTCATATTAACAAAGGGATCTGAAAAAATTTTCATCTCATTAAGTATTACTGATAATTAACCCTCGAAATTAGTATCTATGCATTTATCTAAACATATATTAATTTTAGAACTAAAAACTGATACAATCAAATCGATAAAATCTTGAACATCATTAATCAAAACGTCAATTTTGTTTCTAGGAATAACTGTATCACTATACTATTTACAGATCATGCTTATAGCATTTGATCTTATTTGTATTAACTCGTCAGCCAGAGGGATACCACAATTTTTTTCACCAATATCTTCATTATCAAGATATTTTTCATGATCAGACTGGTCAGTAGTTTGTACAAACAAATTAAATGTATTTTTTATTCATTTTAGGATTAGAATAAAATACATGTTGTTTCAAATGTCTTTTATAAGTATCAACTTTGTTAAAAATCCGTAAACAATCATCTAATGGGCAATTAAATTTTTCAATTAATTTTAAATCATGGTAAATATTAAAATGTATAAATTAATGATTGAGGAATTGGGCCTCGTAATTACATAAAAATCAGCTCATCATTTAAAAATTATATTTTAGAAGAAATTTGAATTATTAATTGAATGTATTTATTATGTCAATACATTTATACAAGTAGCATGTTTACACAAAACAAAGAAAATATTTTAAGTAGGAACAACAAACTATAAAATATAAAATATGATTAAACAAATGAGTCCTATTATCCTATATAAACCCTATATAATCTAACTTGTTACTGCAAATCCTTTATTAGGCTTTGGGCACTTATATTTTTTTTTTTTTTAATTATTGTTTATTTCAAAAAAAAATAATCCTGAATGAACCACCATACCTGTTTAGCCTCTTGAAGATATTCTAAATTGAATGAATGAAATGATTTAAAGTATATATCTAAGGCCTTGATGGGAGTTTCTAGTTTATAATATACGTCATTAAAAACTGTATAGTAGCTGAGTGAAGTATTTATCCTTCAAGATTACCCACAATGGCAATATATCGTTGAACAATAATCCCACAATTAAATGCCCTGTTCACTTTTTCTTTGTGCGTTGTTTTAAGATCATTGATATTCTACAATAAAATAAATATAAACACAATTATTTTAGCTACTTAGGTATGTATAAATGTATTCAAATGCTTTATTTTATTTTTTTAATGTATTAGTTATTGTTCTATAGTTCAGAACTTACAGTTATGTAACTAGCTTGTTATGAACTAGCTTGTTCTAATTTTGTTAGTCTTCGCATTGAATATTTTGTGACATTGTTGACAGTGGTTTTTTTTTTGGTAATTTAATGTTAACAGGATTAAATAGGTAGGGTAATAATTGAATGGCAGCTAAATCATCATCTCCTAAAGTAATTTAAAACATTAGTAGGTATATTAGATAGTATAATATATTGTAGTTATTTGTTATTATTTTTAGGTGTATAAACACTATAAACATTATATGTATAGAATATATATATGTGTATATTACACTAGTTTTTTATGCAGTTAAATTAAGAAACTTGCCTAAATTATTAGCTGATGAAATTTTTTTAACCAAATTCTGTTGTGTTAAATTAAAGTTGAATGTTCTGTTTTTAAGATGGTAATTTTTTAATTTATCTTTAAAAATATCAAACTTTTGTACCTATTAGATTTTGATTTTTTTGCGGATATAAATCATCAAAATCCATATCTATCTAAAACAGAGAATATGTCTAGTTCTATACTATTTTCAATATAATGTTTAAAATATGATAAAATTAAGTATAATTAGGATTTAGTGTAGAAGTAAATAGTAAAATATTAATATTATTAACTCCTATCAATATGCATCAATTAAAAACACATTTCATAATTTATATAGGTAGTTAAACTTACAAGTATATGACTCTTTGACTTTTTTAAAGCTGGGTATTTAAGAGTTATTTGTCAATACTTTGTTTTTGCAAACGACAACTTGCAGTTTCTGCCCACAGCTTATACAAAGTTATTTCAGGTTCAATATTGTGCTTTAGCCAATTTATTGAATCCAAAATGTCTATTTAATTAATAATTATGTTAGTAATACTAAATTAGTAATGTTATAAAAAAGTATATTAAATTATCAGTTTTTAAGAATTTATAAAAATATTTGTTACAAAATACATTAAAATTTTGTTTATTAGAAAGTACCTTCTTCGTTTATAAAAACTGTATCGTCTTTGTTACAAGAGTTTTTTTTGTTTAGTTGCTGTATTGATTCTATTAATTTCTTTTTTTATGTTACAATATTTATCGTACGATTCCCCTCGATTTGGGCTAACTTTAATGCCTTCTCTAAAATATGGAATGAAATAAACATATTCAGATTCCGAAGGAAATAACTCTGCTATACCTATTAAGTAAACATTTAAACAACAAAATAATTAAATAATTATTCTATAGGTTTTAAACTTTTAATATTAATGGTTGTATTACTATAAAACAACTTGCATAATAATCAATTATCAATTATCATAAATAAAACATACATAATGTACTAAAGTACCTAGTTTCTACATAATGTTTAATCCATTTATAAGAAAAATGTGTACCTTTTGCAATTTTGGAAAATTAAAATTTATTAATTTTATTTCCTCCTTCGGAATTGTGTAGAGCATCCTTAATCAATATTCCACTGAGCCTGTGTACCACAAAGGCTCCTACGGGGATGGCGGTTATCCTTAGATGGTGATAAAAAAAATAAAAAACTAAAAAAAATTTTACACAGACATTATCTAACAAAAAACCAATATACAAAGTGACCTGCAAAGGACCGGGTGACCGTTAATAGGTACATATAGAAATAACTCAACTTTTGAATGCACCGCCGTGCTACTAATTATAAATATAATATACCTACTAACGTGAGTATAATACAATACGGTATAAACAATAATAATAATAATGTATAGTGACGGTGGGCGCCCAAATAAGACAAAAAAAATATATTATAATATGGAATACGTTTATACGTAATTCACAATAAATAATAAATAATAATACTCGTAACGTGATTGTTATCAACGTTATCACAAATTTACAATAATATAATTAATAACGATACCGTCCGATGTCCGATCCGTGTAGAACAGGTACCGGGTCCTTGACCTCCGACTCCGCGCGTTTAAATATAATATGGTTTAACGACCAATTTCGCTATCATAATTCATAGCCATAGTCGTATGACGTATACGCTCAGTGCCGGTGTCGCAGCCTCGGATAATGTTACTCGGGGNGGGGATAAGATTTTCCTAGGATAATATTGTACCCCCGGTAAGATATTCCTAGGTTATTTTTACCCCCAGTAAAATTATCCTAGGATAATCATACCCCCGAGGGTAAGAATATCCTACGCATACTATRCCGAGAGGGGGTATGATTTTCCTAGTCTTATTTTACTCCCGGTAAGAATATCCTAGGACATTTATACCTCCATAGGGGGTAAGATCTTCCTAGTATAATCTTGCGAYAAAACAGTAGGTATATCCATATGGGTTAGTATATGTATATATGAAGATACGTACCAAACAATGTTGATAAATATTAAACCCATATTAACTATAAGTAGCTGATAGCTGATAAATTCTTGGTAAAAATTTAAAAAAAAGAATATACAATGTTAATACCTAAGAGAAGAGGGATAGGACAAATAATATTGGCAGCCAGATGGGTACCTATACTTACGTTTAAGAATTTGGACTTATTTCAGATTATTATTTTCATTTGAATATTCAACTTTTACTAAATTTTTCATTTAGATTTCCACTTTAATCTACGACCCAGTAAAAGGTAAGTACCAAAATTAAAATGTTTTAATTATAATATGTAAAATTATTAATGAATATTGAATGATTTGAATGGTAAATGAATTATTTTTTTATCATTTAATATAATGAATACCTAATAATATATTAAAAAAACTTATGCTTTATGGTATGCACAAAGTGTAACAGAAAGACCTGACAAAAAAAAATAAAAAAATATACTTCTCAAACGTATGGCAAAAATTGTAAAAAATATAGGGGTCATAAATAATTTAAAAACTAAACTCATGTCAAGAAATTCCCAAAAAATAATATTTTGAAAAAAGTTTCTATTCTAAAGTAATTTACTCAAAAAATATTAATAGGTATTTTAAAACATTCTAAAAAATAAACTACTTGACTTAAATAAATGGTTTTAGAATCAGATTTAAAAATTGAATTAAATTATCAAATTTAAAATTTTGTTTTTTCAGTATATAAAAAAAAAATTTCAATATCATTTGTGTAGTGCAAGTGACTATATGTAAAAAAGAAATCGAAATATTGATTTAAACAAAAGTTATAAAAATTTAATCTGTCTGGTCTTCCTGTTTTACTCTGTATATTAATTTATAAGTTATTATAAAACAACATGGATACAATATTTTATGTTACACAAAATTATTTTATAGTTCAAACCATTTAAATTGTAAACGATCATTTCAAAATTCAACTAGGTATTCWATAAAAAATTTGAAAATTTTGTRTTTCTTCWTTACTATAGCATTTGTTGAAATTTAATTATATAATAATACTTGCATATAACTATAAATGAATACAGTTAAAATTTGCTTGATACTTGAAAATAATTTTGAAAATTTATTAAATTTAACTAACAAAACAGTGAGCAATCGGGTACTTGCTGTACATTATGTGTCTAGTGAGGGAATCACTGTAATGTACTTATGCRTGTTCAATTTTAATTTAATTGCATAAGAATAACGATTCTAATCGAAAACTATATGCCAGCCAATAATACCAACAGGCAGTAGTAGCTTTATTTTATGATATATTTATGTTGCTATTAAGTTATTTTACAATAAGTAATAAGTACTGTAAGTAGGTATATTGAATTAATTTGTGCCATAAAAATTGCATTTGAAAATGTCTGGCTATACCTATAAAACATAATTGTATTTAAACTGCAACAAAATAAAATAAAAATATATAATTATGCAATAATTTTAAGTTTAAATTTCTATAGAAAAAATCAAGGCATATGTATAGATTTTTTGATTACAGAATAATATATTTATGAGTAACATAATATTCAGTTTTAGAAATAGATAAAAATAAAGGTCAAATAATWATTATTTTTGTTTCAATACCTAGGTAATTGTTATAATTAAATAAATTGGTGTATTAAGTGGAATTAAATGTGAAATTATATTTGTATTATTGTATTGTTTTTGTATKTTAAGAAAATAATATAAAAATTGAAAAACTTTTGTCTTTAAGATGAAAAAATATAACAGAATAATCTAAAATAAATAAGGATGCAGGTGATTTAATTTTTTTCCTTATTATATACCGTATACTTTTATTAATATTTTATTGTTTAATTTAATTTTAAAACAACTCAATTTATTATTTAATTGTACAACTTTAATTAATTAGTCCTAAGATACCTACTTTATATAGGTAAAGAGAAAATAGACAATAGTTAAGTAAATATTATTTAATAATGGTGAATAAATATTTTGTTCTGTTCCTKTTCCTGTTCCGTTATTAATTAAAAAATCACAAATTATTATTAATGATGGTTGTAATAATTTAAGTCTATTATTGTTTAATTGTGATTTGTGAAAAAAATGTATGTTATCAAAACATCTGGATGTCTCATTATTATTATAGGAATTAATTAATTTCCAAAACCACTAACTACAATTTTTATTGCTATAAAAAAATTATTATAGTTAATAAATGCACGAATTGTGACAATATTAGGTACATTAYATTGAAAATAGAATTGATTATTATTAATAATTTAATTAATTTGTCTTAATTCTAGACAACACCTTTCCTACTAAAATTCACACTAAACCTCACTGTTTTTTTCTAAAACCTATATCAAAAAGAATTGAAAAAATTTCACTACCTATACATTGTAAATATGTAACTTCCTTTTATATAAATGGCTTCAATAATTATGTTCTTAAAAAAATGTCTAAACTTATGCTTGTTCCTTTAGTACATATTAAAAACCTTTCGCTCCCATCAGGTAGCTTTTCAGAAATATKTAAACAAACTTGTGTAATTCCACTGTTTAAACGGGGTACTAAGGTTTGTCCTAGCTATCGTCCAATTTACCAACTTAATATACTCAATCAAAAATATTAGAAAAGTGTATACAAATTTTATTGTATGATATTGATTTTATTCTGAAAGACAGTTTGGTTTCCAAAAAAATAAAAGATATTCTAAGGCACTACGAACTTTAATTACTAATATTCATATTTCAGTAACAGTTAAGAAAATTAAGAGTTTGTTTTGTAAATACAAAACCCTAAATAGTTTTTCATTAGGTACCTAAATACATTATTGTGAGTGGTTTTTGCAATGTATTTTCTCTTGCGCGCTATTGGTACCTATACTCTTATGGAACATCTGGCTTGAGAAGTGCATATAATTGCATTTAAAACTACTTAATACAACTATAAATACATTATAAAGAATTACTCAAAAAAAAAAAAAACATCATATCTACACCAAAACTCTTTATAATGAATATGACCTTTTAAACATGAAACAATTACATGTTAAACAAATCTTATTAAATACKMGTATATATCAATATGATTTAAATTAATTGAGGTTTAATCACAATAAAATTAGGTACAATACATGCAAAAATAATAAAAATGTATTTAGAACTTATAAATGCACTACCGAATTTGGTAAGAGAAATCCTTTAAATATTATTGTATTACTTTATGTACCTAATAATTTAGGAGTTGATATTATGAGTTTCCCTAATTTTAAATTATTTAGGTATCATGTTATACATAAAATATGTCCTTTAATATATCGTAATAACTATAAATATWGTTTTTTCTATGTTGTACTTTAATATTAAATTAAAATTGATTATTATATTTTTAATGTAGATTTTAATATACTACCGATTATTTATTTATATTTTAATAATTAAACCTGTTAATGTTACTTTATCACTTTTGATTCATATTCAATTATGTATATTAGCTATCTAATTTAAACTCTTATTTCCTACTCATGCTTGCTTTTGGAAACAAATTATTTTATTTAAAAACTTTTTGTGAAATAATAAAATAAATCTATCTATTTAGACAAATTACAATTCTAAGTGCAGATGATTCAATTATCATGCATGATTAAATACCAAAAAAGATGTACAAAATTCCAATATTTTTATGATCTGTAATGAAAAAAATAATTTTATAAATAAAATGATTAATACCTAATTGGTTATCAAGTCACAGTGATTTTATAGACATTTTAGCTTAAATTTGAACAAAATTAAATATTAAACGACGAATAACAGTTTTAGTTATTTTGTGCTAATTTAAATATATTATTTGGGGTACTTGAAACTTTTAAAGTATGCTATTATATTTCATATAAAACAATGATTATTTAAAATGTAATGTTTTGGGCAAAAATGAATTTAATATTACTAATATTGTAAAATAACTCAATGGCAACATAAATACATCATAAAATATGCTATTGCTTATTGGTAATATGGGCTGACATACAGTTTTCGCTAAAAATTATTATTCGTATAATTGTATGCAATCGTTTTAGATCAATTAAATCAAATTCAAAACATCAATTACAGTGACCCCACAACACAACACTTGCATAATTAAGCATAAAATGTAATACTACTTTAAATTTTATTTTTTCAAATTAATTGGAAAACATTGTTATTTTAAAAACCTCAATCAAATCTATTATTTATTTTAAGTGAACAAGAATTTTAATAACTTTTAAATTTGTAGTTATTGTAAATATGTTTCAGCCATGG